CAAGCATTGATAAATTTCCAGGAAAATTCAGGTTGGATTTCCACCCTCAGAACCTAAGTGGTCCCGAATAAGGGAGTTTGCCAGACCAGGGGAGATCAGGCGTTGGGCTCTCCTGGGCTACGTCTAGACTGCAAGCCTCTTTCAAAAGAGGCTTTTTCAAAAGATACTTTCGAAAAAGCCTCTTTCGAAAAAGAGCGTCTAGACTGCAAGCAGTACTTTCGAAAAAGCAAGCCGCTTTTTCGAAAGAGAACACCCAGGCAGTCTGGATGCTCTCTTTCGAAAAAGCCCTGTTTGCATTCAAGAACACCTTTTTTCGAAAGAGCACTTTCGAAAAAAGGCGTTCTTCCTCGTGAAATGAGGTTTTCCGCCGTCGAAAGAAAAGCCGCATTTTCGATTTAATTTCGAAAGAACGCGGCTGTAGTCTAGATGCAGGTGAAGTTTTTTCGAAAAAAGGCTACTTTTTAAAAAAAAAAAAAACTCGAGTCTGGACACAGCCCTGGAGATCTTCTCCTGGCTGTGGCCTGGCCAATGTGCTGCCCCAGACCGCCTGCTGGGCTCTTCTTCTCCCAGCCTGATGATGGCACCCTCCACCGGCCAGCTGCCCCCCAGAATGCCCTCCCCCACAGGCCGCTGGCAACCTCTGCAGCTGGGGGTCTCTGGTCAAGCAACATCCATAATCTAGCACAGGGCTCGTCAACAAACGGCCTGTAGGCCACAAGCGGCCCATTTGTCTGTGGTCCATGGTGCGGTTTTGGTTTATGCGGGGCTCAACACATGGCCCGTGGGTAGGAGCCAAAACAAAAAAGCAGTCAATATAATGGTCTTCTGTTGATATGCGTTTTAGTAGTTAAAATCCTGAACTGTCATTGCTCATTAAAAGTGCTGTCATATGGATGAAAATAAGGTAAATATTGCATTTTATTAATATCAGCAGAACAGACTTAAATGGGGCCTGCGTGTTGTGTAGTCTTTCCCGTCAGTGTCAAAGAAGCTACAGGCAGTCCCCGGGTTACGCGGATCCGACTTATGTAGGATCCGTACTTACGAACGGGGCTTTTCTCGCCCCGGAGGATGCGGGCGGCGGGACCCCCCAGACGCGCTGCGGTCCCGCCACCCGCGTCCTCCGGGGCGAGAAAAGGTGCTCCGCGTCTCCCTGGTCTGCTGAGGGGGGCCCAGGAGACCAGGGAGACACGGAGCAAAGCCGCGGAGGACACGGGCGGCGGGACTGCGGCGTGTCTGGGCGGTCCCGCCGCCCGCGTCCTGGGTCTGCATCTGTTTTGGTGAACCTTGATAACACAAATCATCTACTGTACTAAGAAAAAGTGAACATATTTCTCCCAGGCATAACTAACATTATCACTGGACTTCACTAGGTTCATTTATTAAAATTTTAACATTGGCGCATGTATATTAGGGATGTCAATAGTTAACCAGTGGCCCAACCCAGCCAGAACAACCTTCAACCACAGTGGGCCTGGCCTGAGCATCCCTCCCCTGTTTAAGTGGTTAACTGGTTAAACATATAATTTAACCAGTTAACTTATTAAACAGAATTTTACATCCCTAGTATGTACACAGATATCTGTAATGCCTTTTCATTTTGCATGTGGAGCCTGACCTGTATTGTCCAGGTGAAGAAATCAACCAAAATTTTGTATCTCTCACATTTGTCTTGACTTCAAAGTGCCATTGCTATACACGGTCCTTATTAAACACTTGCTGAAAGTGTCACAAAAAACAAACTTTAATAGTTTTATAGTCCAGTAAGTGTTACTCATTTTTAAGCATTCTGAAGGTGCCAACAGTTGCATTTTAAAGCGATAATCAAATCTGGCTCAAAGTTAGGCTTCATAAAATATACTTTTCACAGATAGCAAGAATAAGAAGTAAGAATGACCATAATGAGTCAGACAAAAGGTCCATCTAGCCCAGTAGCCTGCCTTCTAACACTGGCCAATGCCAGATGCCCCAGAGGCAGTGAACAGAAGAGGTAATCATCAGGTGATCCTTCTCCTGTCATCCATTTCCAGCCTTTAGCAAACAGAAGCTAGGGACACCATAACTTCCCATTCTACCAAAAATATTTTCAATGGGGAGATAAACCAGTGGAAACAAATTTTAAAAAATAAAAAAGACATTTTGCTGAAATGTCTGCAAGCAAGATGCTACAAGTACTGCAACTAGTACACATAGTAGGGACGTAAAAGTGTAAATGTGTACACAGTTAACCAATGAGCTGGGTTCATAACCTTCACAGTTACATGCAGTCCTCCCACACTGCTGCCTCTGTATCAGAGGTAACAGTGAGGGGTGGGGGCAGGCAGGAGCCAGTAGGCATGGTAGGGATGTTAAACCTCGGTTAATTGAACAGTCAAGTAACCTCATGAATTCTTATCAATTAGTTGACTATTCTATAGTCCCCGGGGGTGGAGCCAACAGCTAGTGTGCTCTGACTTCACTCTCAAGGAGGCCCCTTCCACTCCGCAATGCTGCCTCTGATACAGACTCAGCAGCATGGGTTACCAGGCAGGAACTGGTCAGCAAGGGGAACCAGTTTAAAAACCAGCTCCCTTTCCAGACAGGCTGCCTGTCGCCCAGTGCTGCTGCCTCTGATAAAAAAGCGGGAGTGAGGGGTGGCAGCAGCTCCTGTCTAGGGGCCATCTGAGGTCCCAGACCCAGCATGAGCTGGAAACGAGCTTGGCTGCCTGCCCATGCGATTCCTAATATACTTCAAATGTAGAGCCACAGTGCAGAAAGGTCCAGGACCCAGCATGAGCCAGGACTGAGTCAGGCTGCCTGCCTGTCTGGCTACTAATACACTTTAAAAGCAGAGCAGCAGCAGAGTAGGTCCCAGACCTGTCACAAGCCAGGAGTGAGCCAGGCTGTTGGCCAGCTTGCTAAAAGATGTACTGGCGGGGGGAGGGAAATGCATGTAGTCTACAGCATTAACCTATAAACTTTTGCTTATCGGTTAATTGACTGAACTTTTACATCCCTAATGTGTGGGGAGCCGAATTAAAAGCTGGCTCCCCACCCTATGTGTAAATGTTTGCCTAAATAAACACATTTTAACACCCCTAACACAGAGACCTTAAACATGCATGAAGAAATTAGATTAGAAGTATTTTTAACTGGATGGAGTCTCATCTGTTCCATAAGCTAACTAGAAGAGACAGTTGCACCATGTCATTTGAAAGATAATTGTTTCCCTGTATATTTATAATACAATCTCAGATTTTAATTGTAACTAATGTCAAAGATATTTGTCCCCATATTAGTGATATGCAAACAAAAATGTTTATCTATTTCTTAAATGCAATATAAACCCAGTTTATAACCCATTTATTTCTAAGGTTTGTTTGTCCAGAGCAATTACTCTGGAATACAGGAAGCCCCCGACTTGCAACATGATCAGTTCCTGGGGAAGCGTCACAAGTCGGGGTGTCATAACTCGAACCCACATTTACAATAGGTGCCGTGTGCCGTCGTAAATGTGGGCCGAGGAGGTGAGTCGGGGGACTCCAAAAATGGTCGTAAGTGCAGGGGGTCACAACTCGGGCTGTTGTAACCCGGGGATTTTCTTTAGATATTTTCACTACCGTACAGGGTTGATGTCTGGTCGATTTGCAGATACATAACTGTAAGAAAACCACATTAAACATATCTAGAAGTCTTTGACTGCAATGACATCTTAAGATACTTACAATGTGCTCTACTTCTAGTCAAGCTACAAGTCTAGTCTAGCCAACGCTACTCCTGAAGAGTTGAAATTAGTTCTCAATGCCATCTTCTTAGCAAGCAAAAGTGAAACTGGTAACACACACACACACACACACACACACACACACACACACACACACACCACCCCCCCAAAAAGGAATACCAAGAAGCAGAGCAGAACTTTTCCCTTTTTAGCCATTACAGAGAACTCTTCTGTAAGTACATCATGTTGTTGACTCAGATTTAATTTGAGATTCATTATATTCCCCAGATCCTTGTGCCCATTACAGTAAAACTCCATTGGTCCGGCATCCAATGCTCCGGCACTCCTGATGGTCCGGCACCATCGGGAACCCGGAAGTGCTCCGGGCAGCCGGACAATTGGAGCTGCTCTGCGCCCGGCTTCCCCGATTCAGCTGTTGCTGAAACTGACCAGCAGCTGAATCAGGGAAGCCGGGGACAGAGCAGCTTGGGTGCTGCCGGGGTGGGCTCGTAGTGCTGCCCCTTGGGGCTGCGGGACCAACCCAGCAGCACCCCAGCTGCTCTTGGGAATTTAATTGGGGGCTGAAATGGATCAGAAACTCATTTTCATAGGTCAGTTTCAGCAGCGGCTGACTTGGGGAAGTCTGGGGCAGAGCAGCTGGGGTGCTGCCGGGTTGGTCCCGCGGCGCCGAGGGGCGGCGCTACGAGACCACCCCCGCAGCACCTCAGCTGCTCTGCTCCAGGCATCCGGATTCAGCTGCTGCTGAAACTGACCAGCAGCAGCTGAATCAGGGACGCCTGGGACAGAGCCAGACAATCGGAAGGGGGGGCTATGAAGGGTCTGGGTGGCATCCCACCCCACCCCACCCCAGACCCCTCATAGCCCCCCCTTCCGATAGTCCGGTATATCTGATAATCCGGCACTCCTTGGGTCCTAAAGGTGCCGGATTATCAGAAGTGTACCGTATTTCCCATTTTGTAGCTATGCTTTATTTCCTTCCTAAGTGAAGTATTTTACATTTGTCTTTACTGAATTTCATTTTGTTGATTTCAGACCAATTCTCCAGTTACAGTTAATCTGTTTATCCTCAATCATTTAAACTATTTCTGTCCTAATTTCACAGGACTCTTGTGAACCAATAGTAATATTAACAATTCAATACTTGCTCCAAAATGAAAATAATATACACTGTTCCATGCTACAATGGAATCAGATTGGAGAATGTTTAACATGGAAATTCCCACTGTAGTTTGTATCACAGAATGTTTGTAATACTCAAGAGCACTAACATACATACCAGCTGTCCTCTTCTTCACTGCAGTTCTCAAGTTCTAGCACTTCCACTTCATCCAGACCAGTGTGATTCAAGAGGCTTCCTAAATCTCCACTCTCTTCATTTGGATTCTGTTCACTTGTTTTAAATGATGGGTGAATTCCTATGTTGAGTAAATCTTCTACAAGTTCTGTGCTGCTACTTCTATTCAGATTCAGTATTAATGTCCGCTGTTCTTCATTCTGTATTTCTGCATCATTCATGTGTTTTGAGTTGGGAGAGACTCTCTCAGTAATTCTAGGGCAGCTATAATGTATTTGTGTATCCATACCTTTCTTTAAGCAGTCACTCTCTTTCACCTCTGTTCTTATTTTACTTGGTTTGTCATGTACATCAGCCATTATCTGTAGTTCTTGTTTCTCTGTTATTGTGTTGATGCTATTGTTAATTTCCATTCCATTGAGCTCTAGGTTATTATCCACACCGGTATTTGTCCCTAGAACATTTCTGCGACTCCTAGTTCTCAACTGCTCATTTTGGATCTCAAGTCTTCTCACTAGCTCCTGCAGCTTTCGCACCTCCTCCAATTCTGGATGCACATGATCAGTACCTGGTTGTATCTCAGGTCCCACTGCAGAATTCTCTGTTGAGTCCCGTCCCAAGTCAGGTTCAATGGCATGGTCCTGGTGTATGACAGGAGCACTCCCAGGAATTACCATTTTCAAGACACACTCAGCCTCACTGAAGGACATAAAAAAGAAACAGATGTTTAATTGCATGATGATATGCTAGAGATTAGCTCTGCCACCATCAGTTTAAGTACATCGGCTTCAAACATTTTCCAACCACAACACGATATTACTCAATAATTTAATACACTTATATCACAGAGTTTCAGAAGCAATGTCTTTGATAGTTATATTAAGGTGAACTTGTATTTTGAAGAAAGTTTGGTCCCACATGTGTCAGTATATGTATTAAATGTATCCTTTTCAAGTTGTTGGTCTATGCAACCATTTACGGAAATTAAACTATTGTAAATGACTACATGCAAGGAAACTGGTTCAATTTCATGTCTGTTTACATACAACTACACTGGAAAAAATAATCATTGACTGAAGGAAGCCAAGAAACAGCAAGTTGCTCATCTCAGACAATGCAAAACATTAAGAAAAATAGTAAAATATTTTGTGCAATAAATAGAATTAACACTTGGAAAACATTTCAGAAAATATTTCTATTGGCTTTGGTAAAAGGTGATGCACTAACTATATTAAATCAGTAATAATAGCATCTTTATTGTGGAACACCAGTAAGTAATCATTAAGTAATGTTTTTATTAGCATGCTTTTTCTTGCTGCAGAGTTAAAATTTGAGGTAAGCTCTCCGAGCAAGGAATAAATTATCAGACCTCATATTACAGACTCCAATATACAATAATTCCTCATTTAACACGTGCCCGCTTAACACGTTTTTGCAATAGCACAATCTCTTTTTTAGGGAATGTTTTTTGAATTACATGACCGTCCCCAGAATAACACTATTTCTCCAGCTGGCCCATTCCCAGCAGCTGCGCAGGGTTTCCCCTGCCTCGCTGAGAAGTGGCAGAGGGTTTGCCGCTTGCCACACCGTTCCCCGCTGACTCCCCCTCACCAGATGCTTTGCCCCCTCTCCTCCACCCCCACTTGCAGGCCAGTGGCTGGGTTTCCCCAGTCGGCCCATCGCCAGCGGCTGTGCAGGGCTTCCCCCGCCTCCCTGCAAAGCGGCGGAGGGTTTGGTGCTCGCCGCGCTGTTCCCCGGCAACCCCCCCCAGCTGGATGCAGTGCGGGTCCCGGCAGACCCATCAAAGGGGCATACTTCCAACCCAATCCCCCTCCCCTCTTCTCTCCTTCCCTTCCCCAGAGCCAAACACCTCCCCTCCCTGCTGTAACCCAGTCCCCTTTCTCCCCCAACCTTATGTCCCGGTTCCAACAGACACCACCTTTTCTATTATTTTCAATGGGAAAATTGACCCCACATAACACGTTTTCACTTTATACGATCATTTTCTGAAACATATCTATAGTGTTAAATGAGGAATTACTGTATTTTGTCTTCAAGCAATTATGGTGGTTGTATTGACTAAGAAAAGGGTAAGTATATAACCATTTCTCTCAGTCGACACCTAAATTGCACACATGCACACTAGAAAAACATGCATCCTGCACTTTCATTATTCCTATTCACTATCTCATACTTCTTAACCAGTCAATTATAACTGGGTCCCCCACTCCAAAAAGGATGCTTGGAGAGGGTCCAGTGGAGGGCAACCAAAATGATTAGGGGATTGGAACATATGACCTATGAGGAGAGGCTGCGGGAGTTGGGTCTGTTTAGTCTGCAGAAGTGAAGAGGGAGGGGGGATTTGATAGCAGCCTTCCACTTCCTGAAGGGAGGTTCCAAAGAGGATGGAGAAATGCTGTTCTCAGTAGTGACAGATGGAAGAACAAAGAGCAATGGTCTCAAGTTGAGGTGGGAGAGGTCCAGGTTGAATATTAGGAAAAACTATTTCACTAGGAGGGTAGTGAAGCACTGGAATGGGTTACCTAGGGAAGTAGTGGAGTCCCCATCCCTAGAGGTATTTAAGTCTCGGCTTGACAAAGCCCTGGCCGAGTTGATTTAGTTGGGATTGGTCCTGCCTAGAGCAGGGGGCTGGACTTGATGAACTTCTGAGGTCTCTTCCAGCTCTATGGTTTTATGATTCTATGAACTATACAAAAATGATACAAAAAGATATTTGAGCTGCATATTTACTTACAGAGATTATCCAGAAAGACTTCTGATTTTTCCCTACTTAAATAATTTACAGATTTTGAAATATAAAAAGAACAGCCAATTTAGTCCCAAAACTGAACTTTCATTTAGAAGCTTCCCTTGTAATTTCCAATTAGTATCCCATACAACACATACACAGAGAGGACAATTCTGGCCACATCTATTTTATGATGAAGAAGGGAAAAAACAACAGAAGTTACAAGGACACAGTCCACTTGAATTCCAATTAAAACAGACTGACACCATTTCAGGTACTACACGTTAGAATCCATGCCCGTTTCTGTGGTTTTATAGTCAAGCTCTCGCATCACTCTTCGCGGGGGGGAGGGGGGCGGACACTAACTTGAGAGAGAAAAAGACTGTAAAGTGCTGTCAAACACGTACGTAAAGCTGAAAGAAACGGAATATTGTTTCCCCACTAACATCTCCGTTACCGCATGTTATCTGTAGCGCCAGTACTCAGCCCCCCGGACAAGGGGCGGGTTTAAGCTGCTGGTGCTATCCCCTTGATGAGCAGTCAGACGGAGGCTGTTTGTGAAGGCTTTGAACAGGAGGCGCTGAACTGACCCCACTTCAAGTGGCGCGGAGGCCGGTCCGGCCGGGGAACGCGGACTTGCTGGAGCCACAACCCGTAAGTGCAGCGTCCCCCTCCCTCGACCCCCGGCTGCGAGCAGCGGCCAAGCGATGTGAGGGGCGCGCGGCAGGTGCCGCCCAGCGGGGCGCGGGAGGGTTTCAGGGCTTCGCTCGCGCGGGGCCCCCCCGCAGCCACAGGCA